ACCTTTTTTTTTACGTATGCAAAACAATCGTCCGAACGAAATGAAGTTCTCTCTCTCTCTCTCTCTCTCTCTCTCTCTCTCTCTCTCTCTCTCTCTCTCTCTCTCTCCGTCTGAATTCGTCTGAACATTATGTTTCCCGTTTTTACTGAATTGTATCAAATAATACAAATTATTACAATGCTTAATACATTGAGTGGATTATTTGACGATAAAATATAAAACGAGTATTTTTACGGCGTATTTCATACTAAATTAAAAGTTCATTTCGCATTTGCATTTGTTCATTCATATACTTTATTGCAATGCATAAAATTTATACACAACAAATGGCAAGACATCAGCAGTACTGCTGTTACAAGTCGGCCAGTAAAACGATTAAACAAGATAATACATTAATTAGATATGAAAGAACATAAGCACGAAAAAAATAACAAAATTAAAAATAAAACATAACCAAAATAAACCTATTCAGAATTGTTAACAATAACCAGAACATGTGCATTACATTTATCAATTATATTGGTACCTTTGGCGCAATAAATAATTCGTATCTTACGTTAAGCGCTATCATCGTCAGAGAACTTTCCAAGTTCGAGATAATAAGATTCCATTTGTACAAGTAACATACAAAATTCTGAAAGGAAACTGATAAGGGTTAACCTCGAATACAGAATAAAGAATATTTTTCTCGCGTTAAACGCGCATAGAAAATACTGGAAATGTTTCACCAGGGATTTATTGCGTCACTCACGTTTTAATCGCGTCTCCGTTCGCGTCTTCGATCGAGCTCGCCGGCGCGCATGGCGGTACGATGAGCTCGACAACAAACGAGCTTTAAGAGGAGACCATGGCTCGCCCGGCGGTGTTCGTGTCGGGTGTGGGTGGTAAAACCGTCAGGTCGCGAAGGGTCACAGAGCAATGGAATCGCAAACGAGCGGTAAGAGAGAGAGAGAGAGAGAAAGGGAGACATAGAGAGAGGGCACGAGAGCGAGACGGAGAACGCAACAGGAACACAAAGAACGAACGAGAGGCGGACGGAGAGAAAGAAGGAAAAGAGACAGTAATTTTTTCCTGCGCTCGATTCTTGCGTCTTTTATTTCCCACGAATGACAGCGTTTTATTTGCGACGTACGACACAAGCTAACGATGATGCATGCGCGAGAGACAAACGAGTGCGATAAAGACCTCGATAAACGAAACGCCGTATAGTGTTGCTCTCTGATAAAGAAATGAAAAAAATAATCCAATTAGCCGTCATATCATTAACGTTGCATAATGTGGCACTTGTGAAATTTTATTCGAAGACTTCACAAAAGAGCTTGCTTATTCGATCGTCAAACCCTTCAGCAGTATGGATCATCCGTATGTAAAGTTATCCACGTGCGCAAATTTCACGTTATCATAACTAATTTGGCATACAATAGAGAGAGAGAGAGAGGGGGGGGAGAGAGAACGTATATATACCTTGTTATTATCATATCAAGGGAATCAGGAGAAGATAACCGAGACTAAGGAGAGAAACTGCAGTACAGCGGAGAAGTATCGTTTACCCGCATAGACCTTTCCGTTTCCCTACTTTGCCTAAATGACGGCGTCTTCTCATCTCACAGCGCACTCTCGTTGTAGCGCTGATACCGCCGCGAATTCTCCGCCCTCGAGATATTAACGATGCCGAGAGGTCGACGTCGACGTCAAGACGGAGGGAAGCGGCGGTGACGGCGGCGGCGGCGGCGATGGTGGTATGGATGTGGGACGGGTATATATCGCAAGCCCCGGATATGGTAGCTTCAAACGAAAACTCTGCCGCGTCCAACGAGTTTGTATCGAGCGTAGGAGGTAAAAGCAGCACCGCGGGGTCGCGGAGAGAGAAGGATATACAGAGAGACGGACGGAGAGACCGCGGATAAAGGTAGAACGTGAAAGAGAAGGCGAATGAAGCTTCGAATGAAACAGGACGTAGGGTGGATCGACGAGCGCGAACGAGAGATAGCCAAAAAGAAAGAGCGAGAAAGAAAGGGGGGAGGAGAGGAAGCGAAGAGAGCGTGATAGCGCGAAAAGAGAGCAAGAAAGAGGGACAGAGAGAGAGAGGCTTCTCGTAGCGCGCGCGATGCTGCTGTTGCTGCAGAATGAAGGCAGGGACGAGGGAAACGAGGAACGCGAGAGGGGTGGGGAAACTGCCGCAGACCGAGGTCTGCCCGTGGTAGGCGAGGTGAGGTGGCAATCAATAAATATACAGAACCGGCGAAGAGCGAGGGAGACAGAGGGTGGCCGAGCGACTGAGCAAGCGAGTAAGCGAGCGAGCGAGCGAACGAACGAGCGGCGACCGACCGAGAGCGAGAGAACGATGGGAAAGAGAGAGGAACGCCTCGCCAGTTGCGTCTGTCCGATCGTTCGTTCGTTCGCTCGTTCGCTCGTTCGTTCTTGCGTCCCCAAAGCCCTACGGACCTAAACCCGGAGTGAGAAAGGAGAAAAACCAACCGGCGCGGTGCGGAGAGGATCGAGCGAGATAGCGCGGGCGAAAAAAGTCGCCGGCAAAGACGGAGACGGATGACAGCGATGGACAGGAAACTCGGGTAGCGCGCGGAGAAAGGAGAGAGAGCGAGACGGAAAATGCATCGGAGGGCAACTTGGGAGAGAGAGAGGTCCCGCTCGAAGAACGAGGGGAGAGGGCGGCTCTCGATGGCGGTCCAGGAAATACGAAGAGGGACGACATGGGTCGAAGGTGAAGGGACGAAATAAACGACGAGGTCCCGTCTCCGTCGAGAGTGACGGAGATCCTACCCAGCGAGGAAATAAGAGAGGCTTTCGGAGTGAAATCGAGACGAGCTGAGAAATGAGCGCGGAATGCACTTCGGCTTGCATTAACGATCTGTTTTATACTCGTGTATAGAAAATGCACTTATCGGATAAATAAAAATACATATCTTTTACGTAAACTGTTACGTAGATTAACTTTTCATATCTGTCATTAAAGTGCAATTATCACCTGTTACTATTCATACCACGGAGAAATTTATTCGATAACTCTTTATTATAACTCTATCATTTTATAATTTTTTAGTTTGGAGCGTTGCCTTTTTTTGTTAATTTGTTTTTTTTGTTCTCGCACGTCCAATAATAATTGACCGATACTTTAAACTGTAGATGCTTTAAAATTAGATAAATAAAGAAATATAATTCCAACAATTATAGAAATATCAAAAAGAAGATGCAAGTGTCGAAAATTTAAAACTAAATAACTTTTATGAAAAACACTATTGAAGAACCATCGAGATCTCAATTTGCCAACCGATTCTATTTCTCATAGCTGAATACGGCTCTCACTTGTGAAAAAGTTTAGGGCAATGTATCTAGAAGTAGCACTCGAAACGAGTCTGGACGACGAGCGCGAGTTCTCTCCTTTGTCGCGAGGAATCGGTCGAGGATCGACGGAAGGAGCCTCGATAACCTTGGAACGAGAGAAAGGCTGGGTAGGATGTGCGCGCGCGAGACTAATTGATTTCGGGACGGAGTGGAGGAGAGAGAGAGAGAGAGAGGGGGGGGGAGGTTCTTCGCTCGTTAAGGCAGCACTGATATATATCGCGTTGACGCGCGAGACCGTATTGGGATCCGTTTTGCATCACGCATCCGGCTTTCGAACGACCCTGTAAATCCACGGCAAGTGCAACGACGTCGTAACGGTGCGGTACAGGGAGAATAACCTTAGATCGTGAAATTATCTTACTCGATCTTCGATTTCATTAGACGGCTTACTCTCTAAAATCTTTGGAATGGAATCTAATTCTAAAAAAGTGACAAAAAGTGAGCCAGTGTCGTAAAAGAGGCTCAATTGTCAATTTTTTAGAGTGTGATTTCACTCTAAAGTTAGATTCCGCTCCAAAGATTTTAGAGAGTAGCTACGTGACAAGCATTATTATCTCATTATTGATTGAGAAAATAGAATATATCTAAAATAGATGAAAAAATTCAGTTGTAAGTTTTATCAATAAAATGTACGTAAAGATAAGCAAGAAAGAACATCAACATTATGATAAAAGTTTTTTTCAGAAAAAGAAAATAATATATATAGAAAAGAACTCGTAAGAAAGATATGATTGTAAGGCATAAAAGATACGCGTGTACATATGGGAAAAAAGAAAGTTTATCGCTTCCATCATTTTTTTTTGAATTTAGTTGCACCTTTCAATTTGTCAGTTTATGTACTTACAACCCTATCATACGAAACCGTCCGTCGCGGAAACGTGCTTTGGCGACCGAAATCGGAATCGTCAGGAGTAAACTTCCTCCTGGACAAGCACTATAACTCACGCCGACAAATACGCCATCGGAATTCGCACGCATAACCCCTTCGAAATACCGAACACACGCATCCGCAAACTGTCAGTTACACGGAAAATATTTGCCCGTATTGTCTAAACAATATCGCGTACGATTGCGTACGGATCAAACAGAGCCACCCCGGCGCGGCGTCGGTTAAATTAGAAAAACAAAGGGGAAAGGTATCATTGGGTCCAGAGGCGCAAAGCGGAATGATTTGTTACGAGATGCAAACGAGATTATTAGTTAATGAACAAACGTCATTGTTGCGCCGCCGCGCCGATACAAAAATCACTCGCATTGTCCGTCCATTTCATGCTCCTTCCGAATCTGTTATCTCGGACATTATATGCTATTTTCGCCGATCTCCCCGGCTGTAATTAACTGCCAGACAAAGTTATATCGTAAGATAACCGATTACAATGTAGATGTTGGATATTCTACAGATAAGAACTAGTCTGCCCGCTGAAGAAATCCCGACCATTAGAGCGCGGAGAACGCTCTCCTATTATCGGACTTCTTTCCTCGATCTACCTTCGCCGCTTCGCATAACGATGCCGCTTATCGCGACGTAGCGCGTCCGCACGTAGTTTTACGGTTTGGAACGAGCGGAAAAGAGAGAAACGTGAGAGAAATTCAAAAAAAAAAAAAAGAAGGCAGTGGAACGAGCGAAAATGACTTACCGCCGAAGAGTGCAGTAGGATCGAGCAACGGATTGGCCTGGTCCGCCTGGAGTTTCTCGGAGGTGGTGGCGCCCGGAGTCACCGCCGCCGCTTCAGCTCCGCCACCTCCGCCGCCCCCGCCTGATGCGGAGTTCTCCTTCTCCATGCCAGTCCCCTGAAACATCGCACATCCACCCATGGTTTCGTTAGAAAAGTTTGCTCTCACGCGCAACGCGCGAATCCCGCGATGCCGCGATGCCGCATCGCCAAGGACTCCGCGCTTGGCTGTTCTTTATCTCGAAAGGTCCTCCCGACGAGGGGGAGGAGACGGAACAGGTTTCGCGCCGCGCACGATATTTACGAGCTTGCAGCTTGCAGCGCGTCGAGATTTCGGTACGCGAAATTTTTGACGAGGCGTGAAGCTCCGGCGGCACAGGAGATTATTACTCGAGAAGAAAAACGACGAAAGGGCGTTTTATCGGTCGACATAGCGGAAAGGATTAAAAAAAATTTGTTTACTCAATAAATATGCATGATTTTCGAGGTGTAATAAAATTGTCTTTGTCAGAGACATTTTTCACTTTCTTATTTTAACGCATTATAAAACGTATTATAACAGTATCGTAACGCTTCATAAAAAACCATTATTAAATTATTATTAAATTAATTTAATTTAATGTATGTATTAAGTACACATTGAGGATTAGCTACATCGGTTCAATAAAATAAAATACTCAATTAAGTGCCTGATTACTCTTCCATTAAATTTTAATTCCACATCGTAATTTACAATCGTAACCCACATGATCATTTAAAAAAGAATCAAATTTTTCCTAAATGATTGTATTGATGAAACCATCGAATTAGAAAGATTCTTCTATCTCATTTTTCTACACAATTTCCTGTACGTATAATAGCCAATGCAGAACCGCCTCGGATCGGAGATATTCCAAATTCCTCCGCGTAATTGCGGCAATTAAGCAGATCATCGTGGAAAACATTTGCGCTCCTCGTGAAATATTTCTCGGTGAAAATAAAAAAAAAAGTCGCATTTATACATTGCACTTCGCGAGCACTCACACTCGCACACGCACACGAGCGCAGCTCGCACGTATTTGCATTCGACGACTGTTTACCAGTCGAAGAAAGGCTTCCTCCAGCGGCGCTTTAAATAAAGGTCGTTCTCCCCTCCATCTTTTCCCCTCCAGCGCTTCAATCAGCTGACTGGCGCACTCCCCTCCCTCCGCCGCCCAGCTGTTGTATAAATATACATCGTTACAACGTTGAGTTAGGTTAGGCTGATGCTAGGCTAGACGATGCACCGGCGGCGACGGCGGCAGCGCCGCTATTATCATACAGTCAGCATAGTTATCATACGTACGAGTCCACGAGACAGTGAACAAGATTAACATTGTCGCCATTACGTTAATTAATCCTTGAGCGAAGCGATTTTTCGTCTTTCATACCTTTCGGTCTTTCTCCGGAAATCATTTCAGGCTTTAACTATTCGTGGCGTTTCGCTGATATTTCTATATCGAATGCTCGTGTCAAGCATACGCCTATGTGCAAAATTATCTTTCTCTGTTTCTCTCTTCCTTTTTCTATCTTTAAGTCTTTAAAAAGCGTCGTTTCAGAAAGCGCGAGTGCATCGTTCAGTGATAAACGAATTCTCAGTCCGAATGAAATGTTGAACCGGCTTTTATTACCGTTATTAACTCGTTAGTTTTTAATAAATATATAGCTGTGCACGCCACGAGCGAGCCGCTTCAATGCATTTTCTGTCGCTATTTATGCGAACGGAATGCTTTTTCAAACGCAAAAGAATCCGCGCTCGACGAATTCATTCTAATTCCATTAAAAATGGAATTTCCATACTGGAGAAAATGTATACAAACATATTAACAAAACACAAACAAAGAATATTTACGTTCACACGAAATTCACAGAAGAGCCTGTGTTCGTTAAAATTTACACGTGCGACACGTAATCGATTATTTTCCAGCGGAATGTATTATTCATTGTAACGATAGAGACGAATTCTAATGCATATCTACTTTCTTTCTACATATTATCATGTTACAATCGGAATAAACTCGATAAGAGAGAAAAATTCACCGTGGTCTGGTATACACAATAGCCTTCATTCGACTACGAGTCGTCACGCGATCGTTATCGGCGACGTATTGATTCAAGTTGGCCCCTTGTTCTTATCAGGTTCGAACGCGGTCTTGTGGGAGAGCCTCGCAAAGCATTCAGGATTTCTAGGGTCGCGTGATCGATCCGTTGAATGATGGCGAAAGTAACGTATAAATAATTTTGCGTCTTTATCCTCGTTAATCTAATGGATGAAGATGGATAAAGAAAGCACTTAAGTATTGAATGATAGTAGTGCTAAGGCAAAAGAAAGAAAGAGATAATCCGATTTAAATATTTCAAAGACATTTCTAATGTGTGCGTCTACAGTTTCCGTGTATCTTTTTTCAGTGGTTTCCTTTTACTTTTATAAGTCGTCTAAGAGGATCATCGTAAAATGCCTCTTCTATATTTAACACAGACATTTAAGATATGTGGATACTCATAACAGATTAAAAAAAAAAAGATAGACTATAATTAATATATACAGTCTAAAATCATGTTCTTTCTCATCTATCAGCGATTTCTTTAATACATCATCTTTAAAATGTATATAGTATAATTTTTTATTTTATTATTAAAAATTTGATATAACGAAATAAATCTATTTGTATATACAAACATATATAAGATACGTTATATAAACTTTAAATTTTTACTAATTATTGTAGAAAATATTATTCATAATATTATTAAAAATAGCAAAATGTGCTCTCTACGTTTACAATAACTTCGAAAAAATTTAATTTAGTAATATACCAAATCATTAAAAGTATACGGTCAAATTATAACGCGCAATTATTGGAACAATATTTCGATATCCATTGAATTTGTACGATTATTTTGCATCGCAAGCAGTTGACACAAAGGAACTCTTACAATAGCTTTTATTGCGCTCTCAGATTCGTGAACGGTGATGTCGTGCGAAGCCTCTCGTTTGTAATTGACAAAAGAAGCCGCGCAGAAGCTCTTTGCCGCCGGAAATTATCCTCCAAATAACTGTGACAGAAAAGCATCCTTTCAATATCTCCGACTACTATTGCTACTCCTTTGCTTCTTGATAAACTAAAAGCGAAAAATCGCAAATTAATTAACGAAACTTCCGAGTTTCGTATTACCTTCAATATCAAAATTTCAACAACTTACTTCTGTTGAAAACTTGTACATTATTTTCCAATATTTTGCGATATATTATTTGCATTGTTGAACATTATACTTTTATCACATCTAAAAGGGTCAATTTCTTTCATCACAGAAAGTACAATAGAATCAATATTTTTCCTGGCTTTTGTTTTAAAATTAGAAACAAAATTTAACAATGTGACAGAAGTGTGATTTCTTGTTTATCGATCAATATTTCAAATTCTAAAAACAAAAATGTCACGATAGATGATTATTGATGTAATATCAATCCTCTAATATGACGAAATTTTCCTATCATCTCATTTCCAATTAAAGCTGTTTTCGTTTTAATAATAAAATCACAATTTATCGCGCAATAATTCTATTTTTAAATACAGTAACACATTAATTTAAAAAATTCAAAAATTCGAGATACGATTACAACTTAAGCGTTGTTGTAGTTTATTGTGTCCGAACGACATCAAAACTTTTTAATAGCGAAAGGAAAGAGAGAGTGTATACAATTGAATCAAATACTTACTTTAGTTTTCACGAATTTTCCTTTCCCCGTAACTTTGATAATTTTCACAATTTTTGAACTCGCGTAGCATGCGCACGATGTTGAAATATATTAGAATCTAGCCGAAATTATCACCTATATATCCAACGAACGTATAATTAGACGCATCTCCCGGGCGAGCCAAATAACACGGTATAACCAAGTCTGCGATTATTGCTGCAGCAACGGCTGAACTAATCTTTTCAGAAAAATTTTTTTTCTATGTACGTCACGAACAACTTGCATGTAAGAATGCTTATAACTAAGCATATTTTTATTCCTTCGGTATTACGAGTACATATTTAACTTTTATCAATACTACTCGACATAATCGAGGAAATTTATCATCATAAAGAAAACTTTTTCTTTTATGACAATAAATTAGTAAAATAAATCCGTTATAAATATTAGAATAAAAATGTGCAGAGTATTTTCCACTCGTAAATTTCTTTTAAATAATGTTTTCCTATTAGATATCGATCCCCAATTTATAAAGAGAAAATCTGAACTCTGTTAACGTCATCTAATAATTATCGGAATCAAATTATCGTGATCGAAAATAATACGTGTAACAACAATAAAGAGCGAATGCGCGGATAATATCGAGGTATCGTAAAGATACCTATTCGAGATTCGATATCGTCGTCGTGATCCGTACGGTGTTCGGAATATCCGGGCGAGCCCGCGACGCCACCCGGTTTTCAGCTATAGCGGGCATACTTCGAGATGCTCGTAAATTGGTGAGGAAGAGAAGGGCGAGGAACGAGGGCGAAGGGAGGTGGCGCGAGAAGAGAGGTGGACTCGCCTTAAGGCAAGGCAAGGGAACGCGGGGGCGGCGAACCGAGAGCAAAAGGAAGACACGGACGACCATCGATTTCTCGACCGGTATTACGCTCCTTTCGCTCCTTTCCTTCGGCCGGGAAAAGCTCGGGTGCCAGGCTGGAACACGGTCGTTGTCGTGGTAGAGAAAAGAGCCCGGTGACGAGGAAGAAACGCGCCGTTTGTTCGCGAAATGCGACGCCCTTGCGCCGACAATGCGCGTTCGACTTCAACTTATTGCGTTTATTCTTACGCTTCCTCCGCTTTCCTCCAAGCGCTTCGGATATCTCGACCTTATTAATCCATGAATATCTCGCATCGCATCGGCTTAACTTGAGATAGCGAATTAATCAGTTTATTCAGAAAGCACGTTACCTCAAAATTTGCATTTTTCTGGAAGAGCAATTGAAAAAAAAAAAAGCAGCACGATATCCGTAATCCTCGATTACACCAATGGGTCATTTAGAAGCGAAACTTTTAGACGGTTGTACATGTACAATTGGTACTGTGAAGTTTGACATTGTAGGTAAAAAAAAACTTTGAGCCCCTTCCTCTATCAATCGCCGTAATGCAGAAATTCATTTGCATTTAGTACTTGAAACAGAACGATTAAATGTAGTTTTCATAGTTGTAGTTGAAGATTAATAAAAAGTTCTACCTGACTGTGCTAATGCAGCCTAATGATATATTCGCATGTGTTCATTCTTATTAATAATGTAACGCAGGATGTGGTATTTGTGTCTAACGTTTTCCTATTTCGCTACATCAGAGAGATAGAAAAATTCGTGAGATTATACCGATAACCGTGCTGTTCGAGGCAAAGCTAGGTATGATTACTATATACCGGCAATATCTCTCTCTCCCGTAGTCGACTGCGGCTTAATAAACTTTAGCTTAATATTTTTACGTAAACCCATTTCTGTATTCACGACAACGCTAGAAGAGGGGAGACATAATTACGAGCGTTGCATCGATGTCACTGTGCCGCATCAGATAATACTTCCATATACGTTAATTATACCCGATTCCATTCCCCTGTGCTCGAAGGAAAAACATACAGCCACACGCGGACCTTGCAACATGAATGTTTCATCCTGAAGCGAGCGTATCATCGTTATGTCGTAACAGTAATTAGCGAATTTAAATAGAACGCCAATTTGCAACAAGTCCATCGCTATCCCGGTTAATTGCCGTAATGAAACCAGATGTACGTGAATATAATAATATTTGACGAACCAGAATGTTCGTTTCGAAAAGCTCACCAGGGATATAAACGCGAAACAATAAAGTGAAACGCATAAAACCATGATACATAAAATTGCAAGTTGATGTGTATAAAACGTAATAGCGCGATTCTAATAGCTCGGTAGGATGGATAACATTGTAATTAATACAACGTTAAGAAGACCGATGCGAAAACAGTGAAATTTCAAATTCGACGAAGACACATTTGAAATCGAAACAGCTCGATAAATTAGTAAACAGATTCGGTAAACCGCTATCGACGATATCCTCGACTCGTCTGGACAACTGCAACGTTACGATCAGTTGAGATAGAGCACGCAAGCCTTTAGCCTCGTCACGAAGAGTGGCTCTCGTCCGCTCGCTCGTCTCGCTCGTCTCGCTCGCGCAGCCGAGCTTAGTTTCTCATTCAATGAATCCTTACATGGAACACGTCGCCGAGAACGGCGGACATTACGCGCGTTCTCCGTCCTCTCCCCGACCGTTCGTGCCGCAGCAGATGGCACTCCTATCTGCGTCAATTACAGGCGGACTCTTCTCTCGTCGGGGCGTTTCGAGGGAAGAGATACGTGGCGCAACGAGGACCTCGGATCTTGATGGTTTCGCAGAGAGCGAACCGACATTACGGGCGGCCACGTTGGTGTGCGGGCGGCAGGGTGAGATACGTGGCGCAACGAGGACCTCGGATCTTGATGGTTTCGCAGAGAGCGAACCGACATTACGGGCGGCCACGTTGGTGTGCGGGCGGCAGGGATAGGAGTGAGTAGAGATGAGAGAGAGAGAGAGAGAGAGAGAGAGAGAGAGAGAGAGAGAGATCGTCGCAAGAGATGGTGGAGGTGGAGGAGCAGCACAGCAATCAATACAGAGCCAGCAGAGCAAAACCATCCCTCGACTACTCTGTGTGTCGCTCTCTCTCTCTCTCTCTCTCTTTTTCGAACAGCCGCCGATATTTCTCTCCCTTTCTCTATTGGGCACCACCGGAGTAGTCTCTCTCCCTCCCTCTCTTTCTCCCGCCTTCGGTCTATCTCTCTCGAACCGGAGCGCGAATACAACGGTTGCACGAACGCGCTACAGCGCCGTTAACGGGGACTTCCCCACGCGTCCGCCAAATACACAGACAGGCAGATGCACATGCACATCCGTGCACCAATACGAGAGCGCGCGTACGCAACGAGGCGACCGGGCGTCATGCTAGCGTACATACGTCGCATCGGCTGCAATTATAGCGGCGATGCTCGTAGCGCGTAGCACGAGAAACAAGAAACGTGGCGTGCGAGAGAGCGAGCGAGATTGCACACGAACACGAGAGTAGGTGTTCCTCCCGACCAAGTGCGCATACTTTTTCCGCGAACTCGGCTATGCCGTGGGGAAAACGCAGAGATACGCGGAAGCTGTAATAAGCGAATTATGTGGGAGTATTCGCGACGGCGATCGATACGAAGAAATGCGCCGGGCCGAGCGCCCGTAATCCCTTTCGAGAATGCCGCGACGCCCACGATGGAAATCGCCGCCGCCCTCATTCGCGGCGAATCGAATTCAAATCGATTGCGGAATGAAGTCATATTAACGCTCAAACAGCACTTTATTCTGCGAATAAATGCGGACCCGGTCGGACTGTAGCAGAGAGGTGAGAGAGAGAGAGAGAGCTGGAGAAACTCAACGAAATGCTCGAAATATCGCAAGACGATTATTAAACATTTTTATTCAATAATGAAATCCATTGATAGAAATTAATGTTTAATAAAACGTAATGACCTTACATACCGTAATAATACCGTATGTTATGAAAAAATAATATCTTGAAACTTTTAATTTGATTTATGAACTTGAAAAGAATATAAAGAGTACTTCATGGAATGAAGTTTGCATTCTCTCTCTCGCTCTCTTCCAATCTTTCTCTCTTTCTCCTCTCATTCTTTTTGTTTCTGTTATGACACGTGTTTGATGCATTTTATACAGTGTTCTATAGTCATATAGGAAGTTCAAAGAAGCGCTATTTTATGAAACGTTTAAAAAAAGTTTAATATGACACATGGTACACATATATATACAAAGTTCCTACATAGCGCTTGCGATGTAAAAATAGAAAATCCGATAGTGAAATATTAATGCAACCCGTATTCTTGATGCATCTACCGTTCGATCGTTACGTAGAGAAAAAGATCAATGATCGGACATCGAAACGCTCGTGTGCGTACACTTACGAAAATTGCCGCTGGCTATTCGACTTTCTACTGCCTCACGGTGGAAGAAGACGCGATTAATGAGACGCGATTAATGAGACACGAGAGCGCCGCGATTAATATAATCGTAATTGTCGAACGTAAATTACAGGATGGAGGAAGCGAGAGCGCGGCGAGGCAATAAAACCCGGCGATATTAAATTCGCAATTTGGGAGACATTACATATGCACAGTACGTGTGTACTGGCATCGCTTAACGATCATTTCGCGGCACTCTCGTTATAACGCACGGCACTCGTTCGCCATGTACGTGCGCGCACACACCCACGAGGTATTCGTGTACTCACGATTAATTACGAAGCCTCAACTCATAGTAGAAGCCGGCTCCGCGAGACTCCATCGCACCTGAAACATAGAAATACATTGCATCGTTAATAACAACGTCGAACACTCTAGGTATAGGTATGTTCTTATATCAACCGGCCAAACGAGGATTATTAAGATGCGAACATGTGTAATCACCAGCGAATATCTCATCGGTGCGCGTTTTCTCGTCAATTGTGGATGGACGATCGCTTCGTTATTGCGCATCCACGCATCAACGATCCGATCGAATCGACAATGGTAAAACAAACTTTCCGCTTTTAGAACGAGTTACATGTGAGTTTTCTCAAATTCACATGTATATAATCCATGTTTGTGAATTGACTTTATCAAAGTGGGGCCGCAACGATTTCAAAAAAGTTTGCAAACTTTGTTAGAAAACTAGCAATTATTATAAATGGAAAAGAGCTCTCTCTTTGAATTACATTATATTATATAATAATGCGATTGACGGATAATGCTAGTAACTAAATTAATCCTCGTACTTGATATATAGATTTATATAGATATATAGGGATTTTGTAGTTGAAGATACATTTTGTCAGTTCTAGAAATCTTCATCTGGAGATGTTTATGAATGAAAAGGCGATACTCGAATCATTCAGAGAATTAAATAAAAATACTGCTAATCTATCGAGAAGGAGATAATTTCTCATCAGAAATGTCAAATGTCTAATTACCACTATAAAGATCGTTTCTTCTTTTTATTTACAGATAATGAAATAGCGATGACAGTTGATAGTGACGAAATATAAATGAAAACACTCCTCTCTCGATGCCTTCGTAACGACAGTCATAATTCAGAGGAGTACGAAATTGAGACTAATTCGGAATAATTCATCATCATTACACATATCGTAACAGTTAACTAGCCGAAAGGTTCGTTGGGGGAGATAAGTGGCTGAATCTGGTATTCGTAACTACGCGTGCGCTAGTCGATGCACGAAAGCGCATCGTGCATATAAACCGTGGAATCACATCCGCGTATATCGGTATTCGCATCCGCCCCTCCTTCGTCGCCCTCTCTCCTATTCGCTTCGCCATTTCTCTCGCTCTCTCGACTTTTCCCTATCGGCGCAGCAAAGTACCACAAACAAGTAAATAGACTGCCGGCTGGAATTGACCAAAGTAATATTTGCCATCGATCGCGTTTGCCGCGGGAAAGGAAACACATGAATGTAGCAAAGCGTTTACATTGGCGTACGCTAATGCATGAATGCCGAGTCAATGTTAGCGTTGCCTGCCTCGCCGTTGCGAAGTCGCTATTCGGTCGCGCATCCACTCTGCGCGTTTCGACAGAAATTATGATCGATACGATGGATATCGCAAACGTGTGTATCTAACCGAGACAATCCTATATGGTGGCATTCTCCGCTACGGAGAAACGATATAACTGTGTCCCTTTAAACACCCAGCATTTCCAGATTTTTACGAGCCACTTGCAAAACTAACATGCAATATCCCGCCATCCGCATGTACTATTTCTGTGGTTTCAGAGTAACATGGTTTTTCTTTTTTAATAAAACAATCGTCACTACAAATAACGCACTAATGGCACATACATAGATTATTAGTGTTCGTTGAGTTCCAATTTTGTATTATTTCAATTTTGTCGAACCATCTATATATAATTTTTTGACATGTGCAAAATCTATGATATTACATAACATACATATGATGAACCCTTAAACGCCACACTGGGAAAAATCCTTGGGTATAACATACCTAATCCAATTTAATTGCTTATAAAAATAAACAATTTTTTCGAAACGATACCAAGTAAATGTATCTTTATGAATAAAATAGTTATAAGCAATAGAAAAAGTTGGTGTGTGTACCGAAAAGATATTTAAAAGTTAATAATAACATTTTTTTAACAAGTATATATAATAATATGGCTCAATAAAAATAAATCAATAATGATAAAATAGAAGGGCTACGAGCCAAACAATAACTTTTAATATACAATAAACAAATGTTGCCATGTCAAGTTATAACATCTTTGAACAGTGAACGTTTATCTTAGAACTCTTTCGTATGTTGCCTATTTATATATATTTTGTTAATTGGCGATACAATTTTGATTGTATTTAATATACAATAAACAAATGTTGTCATGTCAAGTTATAACATCTTTGAACAGTGAACGTTTATCTTAGAACTCTTTCGCATGTTGCCTATTTGTATATATTTTGTTAATTGGCGATGCAATTTTGACTGCAATTATTTATTAATTGACACCAATGGAACTAAACAGTATGACTTAGATTAAGTATTTGATTAATATCTGCAACTTCACCAAATGACTACAATATTGTATGATTCAATTACGTACCACGTTTGGTGACAAATATTTATAAGAGGGATCGTTTAAGAGAAAGCAAATCATGTTAATGTTTCTTACTTCTTTTATAATAATTTTACTCAGCCGTTAAAATGATGCCACACTTGTTCAAAATTAATTTTATTTTTATTCGTACATTGATAATGACACGATCGTTGTCGAAACATATGTTTGTTTATTGAATATTGAAAAATTATTGTATAAAATAAAAGGGCTCGTAGCCCTTCTATTTTATCATTATTGATTTTTTTAACAATTGTGAAAAGATAAAACGAATATAGTAATACTGTACGCTCTCGCATTTTTAAGGAAGTTTCTTTGAAAAAAATGCGCATGCATTAACATTGATATCGCTCAACAAGTCCACCGGAGAAAATAGGTCTTCGTGGAGTCCACTAACCGCGTTCTGGATACAATCCAAATATGTGTTGTCCCATAAACCAAATTACCACTCACAATAAGACCTGGAGACAGCAAGACGATGTAATATCCTTGCGTAACATAATTATATGAGCAGGGGATGGTTCTCTACAAACTCGAACAAGAAATACCTCGGAATCTCGCAAACTTCACATTCCCGGCTACATTAACTTCCTGCCAAAGTTCTTTCCTCTGTATTGCTTGTCGATGTACGTAAAATATGCGGAAAATAGTGAAAAAATATATTTGCGACGATAAAAAGCAGTAGAATTATAAAAATACATTACATATTTATGCAATAAAATCTAGAACCTATGATATCGCAAACTATTAATAATTTAAAGAATTATGACGTATTTTGTTACATAATACGAATATGTATTTATCTTTAAATCCTATTGGTCAATTTTATACGGCTTACAGTTTAAATATCTATTGTAGAAATGACCTAAGGTCTGTTCTACAATAGAATCGTAAGCGGTAAGCCGTGAGAAATTAACCAATCATAGTCGATTATTCTTCTCACAATTAATTGGCTAATTTCTTACAGCTTACGACTCGCGACCCTATTGTAGAACAGGTATAAACAAGGTTACGTAAATGTTTACCTACAAATAAATATCGCCTCTACGACTGTACTATATCTTTCCCTCGTGATCGCAGAAAATGAATCGTTGAGAAAAACCACGTCATTAGCGGCAAGAGTTTGCTACTATCTTATATCATTTGCGCGCTTCAACTTTCTCAACACGTCCACGAATAATCAATAATCTGTTGTGCAATTAATTACGTGCACTCCGACACGACCTTTAGTTTTTTCATTACGCAGAAGGTGATTTGCTCTCGGTGACGCGGATTAAAAAGTCCGAGACTCAATGGCTCGCTCGACCTCGACCGATTTTATCAGTTCGGGCATTAATTCATTAATTAACAAGGAAGGCTCTTATCTGCTAGCGTTGATAACAGCCAAAAAGTTTCGACCTAGCACAGCCGAGCGGGGGAGAGGCGTCTCTCGCATATAAACGTGGTGGAAAAGCCACACCGTGATGTTTCAGCGATATCAAGCGCTTCAATTGTATCCATAATTCATGAATAACGTGACGTCCGTCATCCAAACGTCAATCGCGCGTGCACAAACACACACACACACACACATGACGTACGTAACATGCGCGCACTCGCGCGCGCGCGCGCGGATATTTAAATTAGCGGCATCGTTCGCAATAACAATAACTTTTATTGGCAATACCGCGACGCAAAGCGTCAGCATATTAATCTTTTACCGCTCACTTTTGTGCCTCGTAAAACGGAATTATAAAGTATGAATTGTAAATTATACCGATTTCATTATCGCGTTGTTGCGGTCGTAGATCCGACAACACAATTTGCTTCATTTTATCTCAAACGGAAAGAGACGTGACGCGATAAGACATGACCGACTGTATCAATAATGAAAAGAAAAAAAAAAAGATATTACACAATTTTCTATCACCCTGCTCTATAATTAAGAACACGCCTTTACGCGCTTCGTCGATGCTCGTCAAAGCGGAACACGATTACATGACCCATGCGTTTATTTGTGCGTGTATAAGTGTGGAATAATAATTATCTTCAGCAATCGATTATTTCAAACGGTCCATTTTGTTAAATTATAGATCGGTACGCACCCGACGAACGGGAACATGAAATAGCCATTTTGCCGCTGTTAACTGTTGATACAGACAGTAGAATACCATCAACCACAACCATTGATTATCGTGGCCATCATGATACATCTTGCCCACAGTTCATTTATTCATGTACAACCAATTGTTATGCCCAAAATGAAGAACCACGAATCTATTCTTGAATATACATACTGAATGTAAAATGCAATCATTATAACCTCGATTGATTAATGCAGAAACACGTATTTCGAACTCCTGTATTTCTAATAATTACGCTAAAGGGAATAACGCAAATTGCAATATGTAACATATGGATTAAAGTTGTAAATCATTCGATAAATATAACCAAACACACATCCATTATCAATTCTCTTTTTCAAGTCATTTTTCAACCATCCCAAGTCTGTTTCAGGTCCGTGGGTTTTCAAGAATCTTATACGCGCTAATTACGATATATGATTGACGTTAACTTTTACATTGATCTAATCTACCTTAATGACGACTGACGAAAAAAAAAAAAAACGTCGGAAAGAGACAGTGCTCGATGGAGTTCAACGATCCCTTGAGAAAGTGCTTGTAAATTGCGCGAG